ACAACTCTTGACTTTTTTGAATATTCAAATGCCTTGTGCTCCTGTGCTCTTATGTGATAATCTGTTAACCATAGCTCTCTCTTTCAATCCAGTTCAACATCAAAAGACCAAATATATTGAAATCGATGTTCACTTTGTTCGTGAAAGGATTGCTCAGATGAAGTTGTTTATGCAATTTGTATCTTCTCGGGAGCAGTTTGCAGACATTCTTACCAAGGGTCTTAGAGTTCCATTGTTTCGAACTCACTACAACAATCTCATGCTTGGTTATTCCACCACTCATGCGTTTAAGGGGCGATGATAGAGATAATGTACAACTTGTATGAAATAGGATTGTGACACTTGTAATAAGATTAGGAGAGTTAGTTATAGTTGTTAGAATATGCAACTATAAAGGTTCTTGTATAAATACTCTCATAGTGTAATAACTTCCTCATTATGTAAGAAAATAAGAAAAAACTATTCTCTCTCTCTCTCTCTCTCTCTCTCTTCAATTTCTCTCAACTTCTCTCTCTAAAATCTCTATATTCAACATTCTACTTCTTGGTTTACAAGGCTGATGGTTTAGGCTTCATCAGAAGATTATATGAAACAATAAGATATTTTTTTTCTCGGTAATTTCAACATTCAAGTATAAATTATTGTGTTTCATTACATATGTATTAGTTTGGATCGTAAATGCAAGTTGTGGAAAATGAAAACTAAAAATGCATTTTTGATTCTTTGTATCAAAAAAGATGTATAAAGAAAAAAGAAAAAAAAAAAGAAAAAGGGAAAAGGATAACCTTGGATATTAGTTATGAACTTCTAGTCACATAGTACCAATAATTTGATTGGTACGTAATAGTTATTCAAGTCAATTGACTAAGACATTAAATGTTATAGTTTTGTCAGAATTGTTCACTTTGTTTTCTAATCAATATATTGTCCAAGCTTCTATAGTTTCCAGGGTATATACAGAAATATTTTGACCGAAATTAGCCTTACAGTTGCTTAACCCAAATTTTCATTGGCCCATATATAAACGTGAGACAAACAAATTTTTTTTTTTTTTTTTTGCATATAATTGGTTAAAGAATGAATAAATATCATATAAAATACAAAGTCATATGTTGCACAAAAAATAAAAATTCAAGAACTTGTCTAGTTCACTTGCAATTTAAATCCTCCTACACCTCTATTAAACTTTTCTGATCTCCCTGTTGAGAGATTGAATCGAATGGGAGTCTTAACCTAAGCAACTGGTTTTCATCCCTCAATCAATTCGACATTTAGAACTAATCCAAACTTTTTGTTTTATGCTTGGAGCTCTTTCTTACCGCGATTCTTCCTCTTGCACAGTGTAGAGTTTGGACCATCTTTGCTGACAAACCAAATGTCATGGTGCAGTCCATGGTGGAAGATTTCTTTTTCTTCATGATAAACATCAGTTCTACTTTTCCAGTCAGTGTAGCTTGGCTGCTCAGCGTAAGAACCCATATGCTTAATTTAGTTCCAAAAGCGGAACGTCTTGGCAATGCATTCGAATTCAAACTCACCTCAACAATAATCTTTTTGGTGGAAAGCATTCCAGCCTTGCTCTTAGGAATAACAACTTGTCCGACAGCCGTTCCTTGGTATAAAAACGTGACAGTGCATCCATCAAACTTGTATAGACCCCAAATTGTGTTCTTGACTTTGATTTGGGTTGTGAATTTAGTGTCGAATGAATATGTTGCTGGTACGAAGTTGAGGGCTTGGGCGTTGATGTTGCCTAGCTTGACCTTCGGGGTGCGTTTGTTTGACCTCATTAAATGGGACTGGACTGGACTACAGTCCCATGTTTGATAGGTGTTGGGACTAAGTTAAGTGGGACTAAAGGGGACTCGTCCCGACTAGAGAGCTCGCTAGAGGGTCTTAGCGAGACCTCCCAAAAGGAAGCGGACTACTAAGACTGTTGCTCTTCGCGTCGTCTGCTTCATCTGCTCGCATCGTGTCCTCTTCCTACTCTATGACCTTGCCGTTAAATCCTCACAATCCTTCCCCGCACGGATCTTCCTCTCTCTGCCTTGCTCTATCTTTGCACTGACAGTCCCACCCCACCGCCTGAATTCCAAAATTCGATTACCACCCACCGATGGGTCTACTCGATCTGAGGCTGAAATTGCTGTCAGCGCCACTCGCTCCTTTTCTAAAGGTTATTTCCCACTTTCTCTGTCGAAGTCTCAACGATGGCTACCGCTGTTGCATCACAGACTCAGATGTCTCAGAAGGAGGCTGACATTCAAATGATGTTGGCCGCCAAGGCCATCTAGGCACCAAAAATTGATAAAAAGACGCGTCTTCAAGAGACACAACAATTGTATGCATCAGATCTCCTCCTTAATTTTTTCAGATTTACTTATTTTTTGGTAAATATAATATGAAATTTCAGATTTTTGAAAATCTTTTGTTTGGTGTGATGGTGTTTAAAATGGTGGGTTCTTTCTAATTTAAGATGAAATGATCAATTGCATCATTTGGTATACTGGGTTTGCGCATATACATATATATATATATATATATATATTTGGCTAAGTTTGTATATATGTGTATATTTTTGCTTGATTTGGTATATAGCTTTAGCATTATTTGTTCTTGTTGGTACAGTTTCTATCCTTATTCGTAAAATCCACATTGATTATTTTTGTGTGAATTTAATTTCTTTTGGGAAAAATTGTGATGGGTTGCTTTGTTGTGGATGGGCTTTCATAATCATGCTTTTTAGTCCGACACTGCACTAAACACTTCACTAAGCTAGTCCAGTTTAGTCTAGTCTAAGCCAATCCAGCTTAGTCCCTGCACCTAGTCCAGTCCGAGACAGTCCCGTGCAACAAACGCACCCTCAGGGTCTTAACTTTCATTACAGTGAGACTAATCACTGTTGTGACGATGATCTAAAACACAATGAAAATACCAATGTAGATAGCTAATTTGATTCTCTTCTAGTGTTTGAGCTCATCATTAGATTGCAAAGATATTCGGCATCATTATTTTTCCCAACCATGTTAGTATCCTTCTCTATTTTTGATATGAAAGTTGAAACTTGAAACTTGAAACAAAAGTTATCTGCTGGCTTTTGTTGGTTTTTTTTTTATGTAGGATGAAAGCTTGTAAGTGGAAGGAGTTTGTTTGTGGAAATGATGGAAGAGTAATGGGTTATATATAAGGATTTAAGATGAAATATGATGTTTAGTGGTATAAGAATGAAATGGCTATAATGTAACCAAATGCGTGCATAGTGTATAGACTTATAGTCAATGCAGACGGTTTTAGGAAGAAATCTTTTATGTGACAGCTTACAGAGGTTTTAGGAAGAAGTCATCTATGTGACATACCTTATACACAAAAAAAAGGTTATTTAGCCAAAAGTCAAAATTACTAATTAGCCAGAAATCAAACTGTCAATTTTGGTTTTGAATATGTCATTAAAATATTTATAATAATTATACACAGGTAAATGAAGCAGGCCACATGAGTTTAGGTTAGTTTTATTTAACAAATGATATTCTCTACACTAAGGGAGGGGGTGGGCTTAGCCTCATAATGGGCGAACGATAATGTGAGTTGAATTTGCCTTTGATGATGGGTTTAGGTTATTAGAAAATAGCCATTATATCCTTTTCTCACTTTAATTTATTGATTGCCTTCTTTCTTCACCTTTCTCTGTTCTTATCTACACCCTACGACTTTCTCTCATGTCTTTCTCTTCACTCTCTCCCATTCTTTCTCCTTCCTTTCTCTTATCTTTCTCTGTGATGAAAAAGAAGAGGTCATTAATGGTTGCAAGTAGCACGACCAAATCTCAAATGCTCAGTCCATTTGCGTTTATAACATCATGATTGACATAATTCCTTCTAGTTACATCAACAACCTCCACAAGATCGTGAAGTGAATGGTGGCGATGGGGTTTGGGAAGGAGTGGTTGGACATCAGCTGCCGAATATAATTTCTAGAACAAAGTTTGTGGAGGCTAGAGCCATAGAAGTTCAAATTGAGCATCAATAAGGTCTAGAAGACGTTGTGGAAAGAGCTCGAGGATGAAATTCAGTAGTGAATCAAATTTGTGAAATTTGTATTAACACTAATCTATGAATCAAAGAAGAAGAATTGAATGAAGAACTATTGCAGAAGAATTAAAAGAGAAAATGATAGAGAGAAAACTGAATGAAAGTTTGCATTACACGGAATGAATCAAATTACAAATAAGTGTTGGCTCTTTATACAAGTTGCCTAGTAAGCTAATAACAAACTAACAACCATCCATCACTTCCTACAATACCAATTTTTTAACAACCTTGCTGATGTGTATCATTACTGTGTATATTAGTCAACATCCCCCCTCAATCTCAACTGGGTTCCTGAGTTTGAGATTGAAAGAATGCTTGAGAAATGATAGACTATGGAGTCCCTTAGTTAATATATCAGTAGTTTGATCCTCAGTTGACAGGTATTGAACTTGAAGATCTCATTTTTGTACTCTCTCTCTCTTACAAAATGATAATATATGTTTAGGTGCTTACTTCTTGAGTGAAACATTGGATTTGCATTAAGAGCAATGGTAGATTTATTGTCACAGTATATCACAGAGGGAATATGTAACACCACTGCCATATCTTTCAAAATATTTCTTATCCAAGCCACATCAGCAGTTGTGTGAGCTAAGGCCTTATACTCAGCTTCTGTAGAGCTTCTTGACACTGAATCATATTTCTTTGATTGCCATGAAACTGGATTATTTCCAATGTAAACTACATATCCAGTGACAGATCTCCTTGTATTCAAGTTTGCAACCCAATCTACATCACTAAATGCAATAATTCCAACTTTTGTATTAGCTGAAAAGGTGATTCCATGTTGCATAGCTCCTTTTAAAAACCTTAATATTCTTTTAACTGCCCAAAATGTATCTCAGTTGGTGTAGCCATAAACTGACACACAGTATTCATTGCATATGCAATATATGGCCTTGTAAAGGTTAGTTATTGCAATGATCTAACAATGCTCCTATATGAACTTGGATCTGGCAATGCATTTCCTTCAGTAACAAGCAAAGGATTATGAGGCTTACATGGTGTTGATACTGGTCTACATGAGTTCATACTAGCTTTGTGAAGAAGATCTTTAATATACTTGTACTGATTGACACAAATATCCCCATTCTGCTTGTAATTGACTTGCAGACCAAGAAAATATGTTAACTTGCCCATATCTTTGAGCTCAAATACCTCAGACAACTCTGTGATAACCTTTTGAACTTTACTAGAATTAGAACCAGTGATAATAATGTCATCTACATAGAGAAGTAATATGACAATATCACTCTCACACTGTTTGACAAATAAACTGGAATCAGAGGTTGAAGCCTGAAATCCCATTGCAGGTAGATAGCTTATGAACTTAGAGTTCTAAGCCCTTGGGGCTTGCTTAAGTCCATATAGGAATTTAATTAGTTTGCAGACATATGTTGGCTTAGTCACATCTATAAAACCTTAAGGTTGTTTCAAGTAAATGTCTTCTTGCAATTCACCACGGAAGAATGCATTTTTAATATTTAGTTGTCTCAAGTCCCAATGATTGGTTGCAGCTAATGCCAAGACAATTCCAACTGTGGTATGCCTCACTATTAGACTAAAAGTTTATGAATAGTCAACACCTTGCTCTTGGGAAATTCCTTGTGCCACTAACCTTGCCTTATACCTTGAAACAGTACCATCTAGATTCTTTTTTATTTTGTATACCCATTTGCTGCCAATAATGGACCTATCAGTTCCTTAAGCCCTAAGATAGTCATACTCTTCTTGCAATTGCACTTTGCTACTTGGTATTGTAGCAACTTTTCTAAATGTAGATGGTTCAGCAACATCACTATTAACAACAAAAAATGAGAAACCTCTACCAAAGTATGTATCTTCAGTTAATTAAAGTGACTGAAGTTCAAATAATGCAGCCAGATATCCTTTACAACTTCGTTGTGGTATTGTACCACTCTTCAATCTAGTGATCATTGGATGAAAAGAAACATTACTTGATTCACCAGGAATGGATGATATAGGGGATGAAAGAGGAAGAATTACCTCGAGTTATGTGTCATTGTGGACAGGCAACATTTGTGATACACTGAGGGAACTAGGAGTGAGGGGATGGGAATCTCGAGTTGATGAAGAACCCTGTGAAAGTGATGAATGTTCTGAGACAAATGCTGATTCCAAATAATGATCTTCCAGCAGAATTAGCACTATGTTTAGACATAGAGATTGACATATTATGTGCAGCCTCGCTGTTGTTTTCCCTATGAGTAACTTGATTTTCTGTAATATTTTGAATAAGAATCTGATGATAAGCTTATATTTATATATATTTTACATCAAATTCACTTGTCTTTTCTTACATAGTTTCTTATATTTTTGAGCTATTTACTTTATTTTTGTGTTTTGTGGGATTTGTCAAGCAAAGAAAAAAGAAATAGCACAAGTGGAATTTTAAGTAACAAATTCGTTAAAACTTCCTGTGCAGGTCAGCTGACTTTAGAAGCAAGTTGTGGACAGCTCAGAATGAATTAGAGAATGAGCCATACATGCTTGGAAAACTACGGATGTCTATTTTCTGGAGCATTTTGCGGATTGTTAATATCATTTTTCTAGATGAAGTTATGGCCGTTTTAACACTGAAAGGTTCCCAAGAGGCTGAGCAGTTTGTAACTGACAAGAAAGCATTGAAAGCAATAAATCCAATAAAACTAGCAGCCAAAACTGATGCAGCCAAGAACAAGCCAGCTGACACGTATTCAAATATCAGAGGAAATGGAAAATTAAGTGGGAGTAATGGGCATAAAGGTTGCCCAAAGAGTTACAATTGTTTTAGCATTTTCTCTCACTTATTGTCATCACTGAATGGTTATTAATGGGGTGAGTTATGGAGAAAAAATTGTGGCAGTAGAAAAGAAGAAAAGGGCTGTAGGTTGCAGCGGAAAAGGGTGGAAAAAAAGGTGGAAAGAAAGGGTGGGAAAAAAGGTGGAAAAAAAGATAGAAAAAAAGGAAGGAAAGCAAGGAAAAAGCGCAAGGCTGCTGCGTTGGGGAAGGAAGAAAAGGAAGGAGGAAATCTTGGCATTCTCTTCTTTCAGTTTTATCTTCTCAAACTCATGTCTTTCGTTTGAGAATTATGTGTAACTAATTTTTAGCAGTTAGGGGCTGTTTTGAAGCCCCGAATATGATTGCAAGTTTGTTATGACATTTCGTTTGAATTACTTTTATGAATGGATGAAAATTGGTTCACTACTTGTCTCATTGATGAATTCTTTATGTGTTTTCTACGGATGCATACTTAGTAAGCATATCTAGTATTCTAATGCTATGAATATGTGTGTGCCTGCCCTTGTCGAATGAGAACCTACATATCTTCTAGAGTAGTACTTGTTAATTGCGGTTAACATATGAACCAATTTCTAGGATAAGACAACACTAGTACTTATGATGCCTTGTGATGACTCAAACACTTTTCGTTCTTAATGATTTCTACTTATTAAATCTATGAACACGCCATTCTAGATTGCATGTTAGGGACTAAGTTAAGTTGAAAACGCCATTCTCTTAACATACTACATAAGAAAGAGTAATAAGTTGAGTTCTGACATTGAGCCAACTTGAGCATCTTCATCCGGAAATAAAAGGAATTTGAATGAAACATAACATGTTTGCATGATTATTTGGTGGTGGATAGCAATTCCCCTAACTCGTTTTTTGTAATTTGTGAGCTACTTAAAATCTGTTTCTATTCTATTTTTGTTCGATTTAATTTAAATAGCAAGTCAACTTCAAAAATCCCAAAAATTTGTGTGAGTGTAGCTCTGTGTGTCTAGTGTCTGCATATAAAATTTCGTAGACTTTAGATAAGTGTAAGTCAGTCTAATAAATATTTTTCGGTGGCTGGTCAGTAGGGACAATAGTCTAGTTTTTGTGACATTTTAAGTAGTTAGATAAAACAATCTTCTGCGGGAAAGACCATTATTTTCATATGCTACAATTGACAAATCTTATTGTTAATAAGGAAAATTAATAGGACATTTGTGTGCTACTTTGTGGTTTTCTTTTAATCCTATCACCTGAATCACAACAGGTCTCTGATTATTACATAGAACCAATGAGTTTGTACTGAACTTGGTACTAAGTTGAACTTTATAGGGAAACACTGACTTATCATGAATTACATGCATTGATAAAACCAATTTTCTTGTTGCAATGTTATATCATATAACTCCCTTGTATCCCAAAGCATAACCAAGAAACACATTGAGTAGATTTTGCTTACAGCTTATCTGCATTATAGGGCTTGAGAAATGGATACACTATTGTTCAAACACTTTTAAATTCTGAATATCAGGAATTTTATCAAACTACACTTGATATGGAGACTTCATTTGTAATACTTTGCTTGGCAATCTATTAATTAGAAAAGTTGTATATGAGTAAGCATGAAACTAGAAGGAAAAAGATAAATTTGCTTCAGACATTAAGGTCAATGTTGTTTATACCAAATGCCTATGTTTCCTTTCTGAAATGCCATTATGTTGAGGAGTATATGGGCATGATATTCTATGAAGAATCCCCTTTGATTCCAGAAAATTAATAAACAATCTACTCATATATTATCTTCCTCCATCAGTTTGCAAACGTTTAATCTCAGTATTGAATTGATTTGAGACAAAAACATGGAATTTTATAAATGCAGAAGCTGCTTCAGATTTAGTAACCCAAGGAAATATCCACAAGAATCTTGAATGCTCATCAATAAAAATGATGTAATATCTATATCCTTCAATTGACATCTTTGGAGAAGGCCCCCATACATCTGAATGTATTTTTTCAAACATAAAGGTAGCACTACTTTGTTTTACAAGAAATGATTGCCTACACATTTTACTTAAAATACATGAAGTACACAGTGACTGAGAAGACTCTATACTAGCTGGTACTTTTGCTGCCTTCAACATTGCTATCAATATCTCCTTGGATGGATGTCCTAGTCACTTATGCCAAATTGCCGTCTTCATCATCCTTCCCAATAAACCAGCTTTTACATCTTGTTCCATTCCATTAACAAACCTTGATCTTGAAAATGTTGTCATAGGTATGGTGAAGAGTTCCCCATCACTCATTCCTTGGTAGAGTATCATATTGGTTGCCTTGTCCTGTATGTAAAACACAATATCATCACATATAAACTAACATCCATTATCATGACACAATTTCTTTATTTAGATATTTTAATTATTTAAAAAAAAAATTAATCCATGGGGCCCACAACTCAACCAACCTCTCATCTCATCTCTTTCCGCGTGTCTTCCTTCCCCATTCCTGAGGACTCTCAAACTCTCTTCGTCTCTCTCACTCTAACTCTCTCCTTCCTCTGTAACTACGGACACCGAGATAATCAGCCCCCCTTCTCATCTGGCGAGCTTCACCAAACTAACATCAAAATTCTCCCTTAACTCTCTTGCTTGTCTCTTTCTCTGCAAGTGCAGAGATATTGAACCACCACCACACAACTCGTCGGAGTATCATACCATCACTGTCCATCCTCATCAGCTGATCAAGGTTCACCCTTGTCTTAGTACTGAAACCCAGACCCTAAGCTGCAAACATGAACTCTAACTCTATCTCCCACGCTGCACAGTGGCTGCCATGGCCATTGTTCATTGTCTTCTCCAGTAAGCTCAATGTTTCCGACTGGGTAAGGATCGAAAACCCTCAAATCTTGTCCTCATCGTCGTTTATGTTGTTTTCTAGACTTATATGTCGACTTTGGTGACGAAATAACACAGAAACAACGAAGGGGAAACTTCCCCAATTCTCCAGTGAGATTTCGAGAGTGTTACAGGCTTTTCCGTCCATTTTTCGACCACAGCAGGACCTAGTGATGGGTTAATTCCATTCCTTTCCTCTTAAGCTTCATTTTGGTAAGTAGATTGTGAGAAATGGTTGAGATTTGAAGATAAACGGAGCCGTGGAAGTTTCCCGGCCAAAATTCCGGCTTTCTTCTTCTTCTAACCAGCGATCGGACCCACGATCTAGATCAGAACTCGGGATCCAGCCCGGCCAATTCCGAAATGGGCTGAGAATATTCTTGGAATATTCCTTGTGTTGATTTTTTTCGAAATTTTCTTGGAAACCCTTCTTGGCTAACTTCGACGCACCGACTACGTTTGTGACATTCATGTAACGAAATTTCAAAGTTTGAACATGGTTAACCTCCAGGGTGGCTCAATTGACTTTTTAGGGTTAACCGTTGACTTTTTACGAAAATTTTCCGAGACCCTTCTTAACGTATTTCGACGCCCTGATTCTAAATTCGCACTCCATTTTCCAAAATTTAATCATTTTAGTTGAGTTTTACTAAGGATTCCCAATATTATGCTTAGGTGCAATTACTATCGGAGATTCCGGTTTTCCTTGTTCGAACGGCTATGACTTCGCAATTATCTGTGAGTAGATCTTTTCTTTTATATAGTATATATATTATTTGAGTTTCCATACATATATTAATAATGCATTTTCTAAGTGATGCCATAATTAAATGGACATTATAAGAATTGTTGTGATGATGAAAATTATGAAATTTTTATGAATCCTATGGGACGCATATGTATGCATATTATTATAGGATGCCTTATTTATATTTACGGCAGTGAATAGTATTATGTCGATGTAAATTATTGATTTACTGTTGTATGATTTTATTTACGTTATCTGCTCATCGTTACTGCACTGGTGTTAGTACTCGCCCGGACCAGGGCCAGGCTTCACATTTATATTCACTTCGCACCGTACACTCATTTTGAATCTATTGTAGGTGCCAGTCCTATCCTAGATTGCTATAGGTAATTAGGACTCGTATGTGATGTGTGTAGTGTCAGTCTTCATGTGATTGTAGTACTAGAGTGTAAATCATTATTACACCCAGTCCTGTTCATGTCAGAATATCTCTACATGAACTTATGTGTCAGCATATATTGATGAGCACTCGATATGATATGTTTGTTTATGTGAGATTATGTGATATCAGTCGTTATGTGTTTATTTACGAAATATTACGACGTATGACATTCTTATGATATTGCAGGTTACAGTAAGCATTTTCATATTATACGTAGTATGGATATTTTGGAAACTATACTTATTTTACGATGAAGGGTTATTATGTTTTCGAAAAGGTTTTTATAAAGTTTTATTTTTTTAGGCCCACTCACCCTTATTTTTAGCCCTTCCAGGATTTAATGGCAATGTTCGTGTTGACGAGGATTTCTGGTAAACACGGATATCGGAGACTACTTCCGATGGTATAATTCTTATTCTAATTTTACTGTACTTTACTTAAGCTTTGACATCATTTGTGAAATGGATTCATTCTCGCTCTCAAGTGCACTCTTATATTTAGCCACTTTTAGGTTTAAATTTATTCATATTTTCCATTTCACTACACTTTATGATTTTGTCATATTCCTGATATTGACTAGCATAACTCGATTCAGAATCCAGGTGGACATTCTAGGTCGGAGTGTGTCAGATGGGGTGATATCTCCATTACCATTATAAATTAGAATTGTTGCGCCACAAATTTTATATTCATCATTTCAATCACCCGTGAACAAAAAAATTAGCTATAAAAATAAATTAAGTTCTTAATCTCTTGGATTTGAATGAATAGTCCCAGGGCTCTTTCAATCTTTAATTTTATAATTAGAACATTCTATCCTCTTTGAAGCAACACTCTGTTTCTCCTATACACTCCGATCGCACTCTCTTTTTTTTTTCCCTATATATTTAAGATGGCATAAATAAACAAGAATTATTAATTAAATAAAAGAAAAAAAAATTACACATAAAGTATAATTTTAATACTTAATTTAATATTGAGACAATACTTTTTAAACATTTCAAGGACAGACAAAAAATAATAAATGTAAAAGATGACATCATTTGCTTTTCTTTTTTTTTTTTTCCTTTAGAGTTTAACTTACCAAAATACCCTTTAGTTTTGGTATCTTTTCACACTTCTCTCCCCAGCATTGAAGTTGTTCATGCCACCTAGATGCCTTGTTTCTCCGGGTTCAAACTTCAAAGAGATGATGTAGTATGTGGAGGTTGGGTATCTACAACTTTTTGCCGCAAGAAGGAGCTTCCCATCATTCATTGAGGTTGACTAGTACAAAAGCTAAAACAATTATATTTACACTTGGAAATGAGACTTTAGAAAACCAAATTCAAATTTATTATTTCATCAAGTACATCAAATATGCCTTCAAAATTTTTAAAAGGATAAAAAAATTTGATCCAAGTGAACAAAAGACCAAATTACAAACCGAGTGTCAAACGTATATCCTTATACATTTGGACATTGTTCAATCAACTTTCCAAGGATTGAATACATGATGGATCCTGCACAAGAGAAATGAAATTAATACACAGTGATTAATTTAATTTGAAGGAGGATGTTACTTAACTTTGAAATTAATTTGATTGATAAAAAGGTAAATTCTTTGGAACTTACAAGTACCGAGTAGGAATCAATCTAACCAAACCCAACACAAACTAGGGTTCCCCATTTACTAATTCTTCTAAAACTATACAAACTGATTATACTAAAAAAACATATAAAACTGATTCAATTTCGTGCTCCATGATGCTCTTGGTTCTTCCATAACCCTCACCTCCCTCACATGAGTAAGAAAGTTGCATTTTTTTTTTTTTTGAAAGTATTAAAGTCAATTAAGTTGCATTTTTTTTTTTAAAGTAAAAAAGTATACAAAACTGATTTTACATGTATTTGAAATTGATTATGCAAAAATGGTCGAAGACGGGTTCATTTGATTATGCAAAAATGATCGAGGACGGGTTGAACTGATTTTGCAAAAATTGTCGAAGAAACGTTGAATTGGTTCTTCAAAAATTGTCAAATACGGGTTGAACTGATTTTGCAAAAATGGTTTAGGCCTGATTGAATTGATTATAGTAATATATGATACAAACTTATACTTCATATAGTTTCAAAACTTATTCTGCATCAATAGTTGAGGATTGGTTGAGCTTATAGCACATATTAATTTTGTTGTAGTTGTGAGGGCTAGGTTTTATTAAAAGCCTCAAATCTTATGGGTATGGTTGGTATTTTCAAACATTGTTCTCCTGTTTTTGAGCTGGGTTTTATGTATTTTTATACTTTTATCTCTTTCTAACATGTTTAAAAATTAGTGGAGTTCTTTAAAATATAATAAAAATTATTGTTTCTACATATAAAGCTCTCAAAATAAAATGCAGATGGAAAACTGGAAAAAATAATTCCTGCTTGCCTATCTTACTCAAAAAAAGGAAAATAATAAATCAAGTTAGAATAAATATAGGTCCTACATCACGTTCTCACTTGTCATTTGGAGATGGGATGTGATATTCATACAATTTCTTTACTTTTCACACATCTTTCAAATTTTCGATTATTTGATTGAATGGATTGAAGAAGATCAAAAGATAAAAATTAATAAATAGTGTGAGAAATAAAAAATACTGTGCCGACTCTTAGAGATAATGTCATCTCCTGACGGCTGAAAGCAAACATCTGAAAAGTCCTACACTTTACCAAAGTCATCGATTATCTAGAAGTCAACAACCTGCACCGATTATCTAGAAGTCAACAATTTGCACCATGGCTTTGGACGCGTTTGCGTCTGCGTCTGCGATAAAATACTTCCCTTAACTCTCAATTTCCAGGAAGTTCATTCCACTATATAACTTTTTGAAATTGGTCAAACTCCAAACGCTATATATAACAACACACCTCGTCCATCATTCCGCAAACAACTCCCTCACTTGAAAATTTCATCGTTTAAAACTCAAGGCTAATCAGTTCTATATCAGAAAAGAAGAGACATGGCTGAGAAGACCCAACAGGCTTATCCTTCACCCCCAGAAAACCATGGCTACAAAAGAAGTGATGCAGAGTCTTTGCTATCCGCTGATGAGCTGAAACACAAGAAGAGAATCAAATTGGCCATTTATGTTGCTATTTTCGTTGTGTTTCAGATCATTGTCATAACTGTGATTAGTCTCACAGTCATGAAAGTTAAGACCCCCAAGGTTAGGCTAGGCAACATCAACATCCAAGAGCTCACCTCTGTCCCAGCAACACCTTCATTTGACACAAAATTCACAACGCAAGTCAGGGTCAAGAACACAAACTGGGGTCCTTACAAGTTTGATGCTAGCACTGTCACATTTTTGTACCAAGGCACAGCTATCGGACAAGTTGTTATTCCAAAGAGCAAGGCAGGAATGCTTTCCACCAAAAAAATGAACGTTGAGGTGAGCTTGAGCTCAAGTGCATTAAGCAGTTCCAATTTTGGAAGTGAATTGAGCAGTGGAGTATTGACTATCAACAGCACGGCTAGATTGACTGGAAAGGTTGAATTGATGCTTATAATGAAGAAGAAGAAGGCTTCCACCATGGACTGCACCATTGCATTCGATCTGTCATCCAAGACGCTCAAAAGTTTGCAGTGCAAATGATAAGAGACTTCCGAGATGAAGATAATTACTATTATTTGTTTATTCATGTTTCTCACTGTACGCCTTGGATTTATTGTAGATGGTACTTTCTTTTTTCTTTTATATGATTGAACATAGAAACATATGCTTATAAATCATCTTCCATGCATTCACAAAATTCTAACAATATAAGATATATAGTTTCAAACACTTCAAATCTGAGTTGAGCAGCGGGGTGTTGACGCTAAGTGGCAAAAGCTAAAATGTCTGAGTAGCACGACGGACTATACCATTGCATTTGACTTGTCCACAAGACAGTCTAAACTTGCAAGACTAGTACATCTTCATTACCTGCCTTATACGTTTAAATGCCAACTTGAGCATTACAATCTAAAAGTGTCCATGCAGATAACAGTTTTGTAAGAAACTAGCAAGTCGGCAAATAATTAGGTGTAGTCATATGGTCTCTAAGCATGCAACAACTTGGCAAAAATAAGAGCCAGTACCGTAAGTTAACCACTACACAAAATTCTTTCTTACATAGCATGAGCAATGTTAAGGGGACCACATTAACAAGCCATTTTATGGAACATGTTTACTTACTACATCAACTATTATCTATTATGACAAGTTACTAATAAGTGAACACATAACCTAATAGATAGATGACCCGTAAATGTGGTCTTGGATCTCTAGATTAAAGATCATTTACAATTATATATACTCTTATTGTGTAGTGTCAAGCACCAATTTGGCATGAGTTAGACATAACAGAATGTGAGTATCCAATTCATAATTAACTAATAGTAACAGTGAAAATTTTAAGCACGTGCAATTTTTGCATGAGTACGACATTATTTGCCACACGCATGTGCGCGCACATTTTTTTTTGGGGGGGGGGGGGGATAATCATTTTTTGACACATTTTGTAGGACCCCATCTCGTTATATATTTCAAGGATCTAACCATTTTCCCTCAAAGATCATGTGTACCAAAAATCATCCAAATCCTAAATTATATGACTGTTGATAGTCATTTTAGTGTTAATGTCTTTCTTCTTCAATTCAAATGAACGTCTTAATGGTTTTAGAGTTCTCTAATTTTTGGCAAGGATGATTTATGAATGATGAATTGAATATAGATGGTTCAAATTCTTGAAAAAAGTTATGGAATAGGCCCTACAAAATGTGTGACAAAATATGTGTAAATATACATATATATATATATATATGTGTGTGTGTGTGTGTGTCTATATATATATATATATATATATATATATATATATATATATATATATATATATATATATATAACCCTATGTGTGTGTGTGTATTCCACAAAATAATTTTCTTTCACTGTAATGAGGAACTTAGGTAGCCAAAAAGCACTTATCAATATTTGGCATCGATTTTCTTCCTTGCCTCAACTATATTGGGACAAAAGTTATAGTTCGTTGCAGGGCGAAATATGTGGAAACGTACATGTGATGAGTCGATTTTATATTATATATTCTATCCTATTTTTAGGATGTTTTGACAATTATGTTGGTTGAATTTTGATATTTTGTTATATATTTCAATCGTAGGACATGCGAATCTACTTTGAGCAAAAAGTGATGCTACTTCGAGCAAAAAGTGATCAAATGAAGGAATTTTGGAGTAATTCCAATTGAAGTAGATTCATTAGTCTAGAAGTCAACAATCTGCACCGATTATCTAGACGTCAACAATCTGCACCGATTATCTAGAAGTCAACAATTTGCACCATGGCTTTGGACGCGTTTGCGTTTGCGTCTGCGTTTGGGATAAAATACTTCCCTTAAAGTCTCAATTTCCAGGAAGTTCATTCCACTATATAACTTTTTGAAATTGGTCAAACTCCAAACGCTATATATAACAACACACCTCGTCCATCATTCCGCAAACAACTCCCTCACTTGAAAATTTCATCGTTTAAAACTCAAAGCTAATCAGTTCTATATCAGAAAAGAAGAGACATGGCTGAGAAGACCCAACAGGCTTATCCTTCACCCCCAGAAAACCATGGCTACCAAAGAAGTGATGCAGAGTCTTTGCTATCCGCTGATGAGCTGAAACACAAGAAGAGAATCAAATTGGCCATTTATGTTGCTATTTTCGTTGTGTTTCAGATCATTGTCATAACTGTGATTAGTCTCACAGTCATGAAAGTTAAGACCCCAAGGTCAGGCTAGGCAACATCAACGTCCAAGAGCTCACCTCTGTCCCAGCAACGCCTTCATTTGACACAAAATTCACAACGCAAATCAGGGTCAAGAACACAAACTGGGGTCCTTACAAGTTTGATGCTAGCACTGTCACGTTTCTGTACCAAGGCACAGCTATCGGACAAGTTGTTATTCCAAAGAGCAAGGCAGGAATGCTTTCCACCAAAAAAATGAACGTTGAGGTGAGCTTGAGCTCAAGTGCATTAAGCAGTTCCAATTTTGGGAGTGAATTGAGCAGCGGAGTGTTGACTATCAACAGCACGGCTACATTGACTGGAAAGGTTGAATTGATGCTTATAATGAAGAAGAAGAAGGCTTCCACCATGGACTGCGCCATTGCATTCGATCTGTCATCCAAGACGCTCAAAAGTTTGCAGTGCAAATGATAAGAGACTTCCGAGATTAAGATTATTACTATTATTTGTTTATTCATGTTTCTCACTGTACGCCTTGGATTTATTGTAGATGGTACTTTCTTTTTTCTTTTATATGATTGAACATAGAAACATATGCTTATAAATCATCTTCCATGCATTCACAAAATTCTAACAATATAAGATATATAGTTTCAAACACTTCAAATCTGAGTTGAGCAGCGGGGTGTTGATGCTAAGCAGCAAAAGCTAAAATGCCTGAGTAGCCACAATGGACTATACCATTGCATTTGACTTGTCCACAAAGACTGTCTAAACTTGCAAGACTAGTACTTCTTCATTACCTGCCTTATACGTTTAAATGCCAACTTGAGCATTACAATCTGAAAGTGTCCATGCAGATAAAAGTTTTGTAAGAAACTAGCAAGTCGGCAAATAATTAGGTGTAGTCATATGGTCTCTAAGCATCCAACAACTTGGCGAAAATAAGAGCCAGTACCGTAGGTTAACCACTAAACAAAATTCTTACATAGCATGAGCAATGTTAAAGGGACCACATTAACAAGCCATTTTATGGAACATGTTTACTTACTGCATCAACTATTATCTATTGTGTTTAGTAATAAGTGAACACATCACCTAATAGATAGATGACCCGTAAATGTGGTCTTGGATCTCTAGATTAAAGATCATTTACAATTATATATACTCTTCTTGTGTAGTGTCAAGCACCAATTTGGCATGAGTTAGACATAACAAAATGTGAGTATCCAATTCATAATAAACTAATAGTAATAGTGAAAATTTTAAGCACGTGCAATTTTTGCATGAGTACGACATTATTTGCCACACCCACGCGCCTGCACACATATCCGCGGGGCGGGGGGGGGGGGGGGTGGTGGGGGGTGGGTTGGGGGGTGACAATCATTTTTTGACACATTTTGTAGGACCCCAGCTCGTTATGTATTTCAAGGATCTAATTGTTTTCCCTCAAAGATCATGTGTACCAAAAATTATCCAAATCCTAAACTATATGATTGTTCATAGTCATTTTAGTGTTAATGTCTTTCTTCTTCATTTCAAATGAATGTCTTAATGGTTTTGGAGTTCTCTAATTTTCGGCAAGGATGATTTATGAATGATGAATTGAATATAGACGGTTCAAATTCTTCAAAAAAAGTTATGGAATAGGCCCTACAAAATGTGTGACAAAATATGTGTAAATATACATATACATATATATATATATATATATATATATATACATATACATATATATATAACCCTGTGTGTGTGTGTGTGTGTGTGTGTGTGTTCCACAAAATAATTTTCTTTCACTGTAATGAGGAACTTAGGTAGCCAAAAAGCACTTATCAATATTTGGCATCGATTTTCTTCCTTGCCTCAACTATATTGGGACAAAAGTTATAGTTCGTTATAGGGCGAAATATGTGGAAACGTACATGTGATGAGTCGATTTTATATTATATATTCTACTCTATTTTTAGTATGTTTTGACAATTATGTTGGTTGAATTTTGATATTTTGTTATATATTTCAATCGTAGGACATGCGAATCTACTTTGAGCAAAAAGTGATCAAATGAAGGAATTTTGGATTAATTCCAATTGGAGTAGATTCAATAGTCTTTCAAGGTGATTGTGTCAAAATTCCAAATTTTAATTATAAGTTGTTTGACGGTGGCGAAGAAAAGAAGGCCCAACGCACCGTTTTTTTAGATTGACGTTTCTAGACGTTTTGAGTATTTTGAAGGTCAATATGGTATATTTTTAGGAAGGTTCCTTGAGGACATCTTAAGCTCTAAAAATATATTGAAAAATACCGTACCGATAATTTGTTATATTATTGGTACATCATTGGTACATTATTGGTACATTATGTGTAAATTATTGGTATGTTTCAAGTCTATATGGTACATTTCAATTCGGCATGTGTGCATTTCAATTGAGTAAGCATATATTTTAATTCGTATGAATACATTTTAGTTTAGCATAGGTATGTTTCAATTTGAGAATAAATTGTGTTGGTACATGTCAATGCTTATTTTTAAAGAACGATGACACATTTCAATTCAAATCACAATTGAATTTCTAGAGACGAAACAAAAGAATGAGAAATAACCATTAACGACAATAGTTACAGTAATGAAGAAAAAAGTTACAAACAATTTTTGTGTAAAACAAAGTTACAAATAATTTAGATATATTTAATTTCTTAAATAATTTAGATATATGATTGAATCCTTAAATTGAGGAAGGTATGAGATTCCATAAAATAGCGATAAATTAATTAACATTATTAAGTGCATTTTTGACACATAAATCAATTTAAAATGAATATGAAAAACATTAAAATTAAGAATATACCTGAAATATAAGGTT